AGGGGAGCTTTATGAAACCAGCTCTCATCAATCCATAGCCTCTCCAATTTAGGGGCCCATGAGACACATCGTAAGGCAATTACGGGCGTTCGTTTTGAAGCAAACAATCCTGTGGCGGATGCTTCATTATCCATGAGTGATAGATGGTTTAAAGCCCAATCTCCTGGGATGGAGAGAAGGCTTGGCTGTTAAGAACACTGGCTGCTCCTCCAGAGGACTCTAGTTCCATTTCCAGCACCCATGTAAGGTGACTCCCAACCACGTGTAGCTATCTCCAGGATCCAATATTCTTTTCTGACCTTGGCTGGCACTGGACACACACCACACACACACACATACACACACATACACACGCACACACCAACAAATCTTTAAAGAACAAAATAAAATCTGATCTCCCTTTGAAATCTGCATTCATTTGTGTGACTGTGTATATGTGTGACTATGAGGAAAATAAATGTAAAATCTTTTGTTTTAAAGACAGGGTCTCATATTGTAGCCTAGACTGGCCTGAAATTCACGGCCATGCTCCTGCCTCAGCCTTCTGTGAGCTAGGATTTTAGTGTAAGCCACTACCCACCCCTGCCTTGTGTAAATAAATTCAAGACTAAAATATACATGATTCAAATATGGAAGTTTATTTTAGCACCTCCCCACCTCCTGGAAATGTCAGCAAAGCTCCCACCCCCACCCCACCTCTGTTTCTCTTTGTAGGAGCAAGGCATTGTGGCTTCAGAGCTCACAGGCAAATGCCTTGCACAGAGCACAAGGATGGTCGACTTCAAAATCCTTCTCAGGCCACTTGATTTTTTTTCTGAAAATCTCAATATTCCCTTCTTTGTCTACAAGTAACAGTTAAATGCCTTCACCTGCTTCCATTTGGTCTTTTTAAAAATCACATCGGATATGACACACGTGGCTCCTTAGAGCCTATGGCTTCCTTGATGCTCTGTGGCAGCAAACCCCTTAAGCCTCAGCACCATCCTTCAATGAGGTACTCACGTTCTCCATGCAATGCAATGCTCTATGCACACATCTAAGGTTCTGGGGACACAGAGCCAGGGGCCGGATGCTGAGCTGACTGATGATGGCCATCTCACCATGTGCTGGCATCTTACATTCTTCCTGCCTTCTTACCCACTCAGCATCTGGAGGGGCTAAAACCAGTTCAACCTGGAGACCCCTTACAACTCTAGAATGGTCTTTCTTGAAGCTAACAGAGTGGGGAATATTGGCTCTCTGCACATGAAGGAGCAATTCATGTTGGTGGCCAAGCAGCCTTCCTGTCCTTGCTTTCTGGAGAAACTGCTGTATATGTGTATGAGTGTGGGGCAGAGGGTGCGTGAAAACATGCACATATGTGAATGCTTGTACATGCACACACATCTACCGCCATTGAAACCACACACCAACTCATGTACCCGTGGAGGGAAGACTCCTCCAGGAGGGAGCCCCAAGAGAGCTGCAGTCTCCTTCCGCCATCTGTAGGAACTGGGAAGCTGGGCTTCTCCTAGGGAGGAATTGAGCAATGTCTGAGATTAGGCTTTAAAATGTGCAAGCCCATACCTGGGGTGAGGATGCCTAGACATTGCCTGAAGGGCTGATTAAAGAAAACATGACACTCATAATATATATCCAGTATGAGTCAGCTAAAGGTGGCTCACACTGAATATTTGGGCACTCAGAGTAAACAGTGACATAATCTGATAGATAACCAATTCTGGCAAAGCGCTACATTTGCGTGATTTTACGGAAATATAAACATTGAGGTTAGAGGTGAGAGTCTCCGCAAGCCTGTCTGTATATGTTTGCCTGTGTACCTGCTTCCCTGTGGTCTGTGTGGTGGCCTTGCCTTGGGTGAATAAAGGACGTCTCGTACGCCTACATTTCCTTGTGTCTTCCGCCTCCCGACCTCCCTGTCCTCCCCATCTCCTTGCTTAAGGCTTAGGCCTCACATTGCCCACCTCACCCTTTGGCTTGGAAACAGTACACCATCCTGGACCACTTTGCTCACATTCTTCTTTAGGGATGATACGTATATATATTGTCCCGTCCATTCATCCATTTATCTGTTGATAGACAACTGGATTGACTCTTAATTCCTTGCTCTAGCTAGCCGTCAAAGCAGCAATAAGCATGTGGTGCAGACATCTCTATGGGAGGGAATGGAGTTTCCTTGGCCATATGCAGAGGAGTGAGACAGTGGGGTCATATGGAGGCTCACTTCGCTCTTATGTACTTGAAGAAATGTCCATCCCACGTTCCACCCCTATCGCCACCCGCCATTCATTCTGTCTGGGCATCACCCTGGGAGCTGTTGTTTCTGCTTCAAGGAAAGACTTGCTCTTAGTGCAGGTGCCACAGCTGACAGTGACCCAATCCAGCTGGTGCAGACAGTAGAGCTTGGGTAAACAACATCCCCTCCTAGCAGGGTCACGTCACGTCTGTTCTGCACTGTAGAATGGAGGAACAAGACATTGGCACACACCAAAATTCTTCCCTTTCTTTTTTTTTCCAAGAGAAAGCTACTATACTGCATTGCCCAGCCTGACTTTCTCAAGCATGTGATTTTAGCAAATTCCTTCGTCCTTCCCTATACTTAGGAAGCATCCAGTAACAGCCAGCATCTGCTATGCGTTTTGTATGAGCTACTGACTGATGTTTTATACACAGTTCCTCATGGATAGGATTCTGACAACCCCATAGGTGAGTCTTCTTGGACAAGTTCATCAGGCTTTCTCCTTACTGGGAGGAATCAGCAAGTGTTTTGTTTTGTTTTTTTTTCAGTTCAGAGTCAGAGTCCAGGCTTCCAACCACTGTCTGCCCCACTGAAGGCCAGTCATCTTTGTACTTATATACACACAGATCAAACCATCTGTCCTAGTGTCATTTCTGTTGCTGTGATAAAGTACACTGACCAAAAGCAGCTTAGGGAAATACAAGGTTAGTATGGCTGACAAGCCAGGTTACAGTCCATTATTGTGGGGAGATCAAGGCAGGAGCTCAAAGTGTCACAGGCACAGCCAAGAGCAGAGAGAATAAGCATGCAGACCTTTGTTTGCTTACTACTCGGCTGGCTTTCTTAACTCTTATGCGGGGTAGGGCCTCCAACCTATGGAATGGTGCCGCCCAGGGTGGATGGGTCTTCTTACACCAATTAACCATCAAGACAGTTCCTACAGACATGCCCACAGGTCAGTCTGATTCAGATAATTCATTAGTAAGACTCTTCCCAGGTGGTTCTAGGGGCTGCCAAGTTGGCAGTTGAAACTAACCAGTGACTAGCTAACCACCCCTCCCAGTCTCAGGTCTGAATCGTAAGGTGTATGTGTGAGTGTTGGGGGTGATTTGCTCAGAATTGCTCATTGCTTGGTCCTTTCATGCTAATTAAATGATTTTCTTTTTTTGTTTTGTTTTGCTTTTCAAGACAGGGTTTCTCTGTGGCTTTGGAGGCTGTCCTGGAACTAGCTCTTGTAGACCAGGCTGGTCTCGAACTCACAGCGATCCACCTGCCTCTGCCTCCTGAGGGCTGGGATTAAAGGTGTGCGCCACCAACGCCCAGCTAAATGATTTTCTTTTCTTTCCTTCTTTTCTTGTTTTTGTTTTATTTTCAAGACAGAGTTTCTCTGTGTAGCCCTGGCTGTCCTGGAACTCACTCTGTAGACCAGACTGGCCTTGAACTCAGAGATCTACCTTGCTGGGATTAAAGGTGTGTGCCACCACCACATAGTCTTATTAAATGATTTTCATGGCAGGGCCTTGAACAAGGTGCTGAGAACAGCTGGGGTGAGATGGGGTACCTGCTGTTGATGAGCCTGACCAGGGATAAAGCAGATATATGTGGATATCAGGCCACACATCACTTAATGATGTGCTCTTGTGCTCTTGTGAGATACACAGCATCTGAGGTCACAGTCAGACATGGCCTCTTGGTGAAATCTAGAAGTACAGTATAAACAAGGAACACCAACAGCCAACATTGTAGGGTTACAATGAAGCTGAAGACATCCCTGTTGCCTATTGCTGCATTGACTTTTCCGGGGGAGATTCGGACAAATGTCTATTCACTACAGATAGGACAGTAACACAGATGGAAGAAACAAGTCTGCCCAACCCTAGTCTAGGAACCAAAGAGTCTTTTTGGGTTACTTACAAGGCCTGGGAGAGGGATTACTTACAGGAGTACAGAAGACCCCCAAACAACCACATCACAGAAAATCCCCATCCTGGCATGGGTGATGCTTTCTCCATAACTGCCTCAGTCATCCTTCCATGTCCTATATTCTCTAGTATCTCCTGAGAGCACACACAGCATCTCCTGAGATCCCATGCTGCTGGGATGGAATGCCATATAGCTGGGAGGGTGTTGTAGGAAGGTATGGCGAAATCTTCAGTGAGGGCCCAATGACACCCTCACTGTGGCAGGTAACCACAACTGCTCTGACTAAGATGTCAGTGGCTCTTGGGAATGTAGCTCAGTTGGGAGAGCATTTGCTTGAAGGCCCAGCTTCCACCTTTGTCATTCTATAATACCAAGCATGGTGGTGCAGGCCTGGAGTTTCAGCCCTCAGAAGGTAAAAACAGGAGAACTGTACATTCAGCTACACAGTGATTTTGAGGCCATCCTGGGCTTCAGGAGACCCTGTCTCAAAAAAATAAAAAAACAAAAGGTGACAGTGACAGTTTGCTTGGAGGGCATCATTCCACAGTGGATATGGTTACTGTAGCTGTTGTAATGCACCAGTGCCACACCCCTGCTCATACAGGTGGCAGCACATACCCCATGTTCAGTACCTGATGCCTGAGAAAGCCTGGTGGCTCACTCGTTGCACATGAAGGCCACTGCGTAATGTAGGCTCGCCACCACATCTCTCAAGCAGTATGCTGTCTCTCTGCAGGCCCTGGGGCACACAGCACAATCTCTCAAGCAGTCTGCTGTCTCTCTGTAGGCCCTGGAGCACACAGCACAATCTCTCAAGCAGTCTGCTGTCTCTCCGCAGGAGCCCTGGAGCACACAGCACATCCCAGCACTGTTTTCAGCCTTCTGTGGCCTGTTGGTTGCACTGTCCTACCATCTGAGCCGGCAGAGCAGTGACCCATCAGTGCTCCTGTGAGTAACTGTCGTGTGTGTGTGTGTGTGTGTGTGTGTGTGTGTGTGTGTGTGCGAGCAGGTGTGTGTGCGTGCATGCGTGTGTATGCATGTCCACATGGATGTGAGCACAGAGTTCAGAGATCCACCTCAGGTGTCATCTCTCTGGGGCGGTGCACCATTTACTTTTGAGACAAGAGTCTCTCACAGGCCTGGAGCTTGCCTGTTACGCTAGACTGGCCAGCAAGCCCCAGAGATCCACCTGTCTCTGCCTCCCTGGCACTGGAATTGTAAATGCGTGGCACCATACCCAGAATTTTTACATGAGTTCTGAAGATTGAACTTAGGTGTGGCAAATGCTTTAATGGCTGTACTATCTCCCAGGTTGCCACAGTTCCTTCTTTCCCAGAATGTGGTTGTACTATGCAAATCCCTGTTGGCTCACCAAAGTGGAGATGGCCATTTGGTGCTCTCTGCTCTTTGATACTTGCTTAAGCAAGCTGGTTGTGCACTGGACAGGGGCAGAGAAATGATCTGAAATGATTGAAACTCAAGGGCAAGCTTCCAGCCAGATGCCCTCCTTGAACTTGACATTCACAGTGAAGCTCACGGAGTAGCTGATTGGACATCTTTGGGAGTACTGTAGGAAAAGCCGTAGTCACGGATACTGTTGTCTTGCTGTGGAGGTCACCCTGTGGAGAGCAGAACCACATCCTTGAAAGGAGCCTTTTGTTTTATTTTGTTCCTTCTTGTACAACCAGCATCCTTGAACTTTAAAATGAGGTTTGTGTCGAGGCCTTAAATGATCTCTATTGTAATCTCTGGTCACTTGAAGTATAGATCTGTTTCTGGGGACTGGAAATCCTCTGAACAATGTCACAGTATCAGATATTGATAATACCATGCCCTGTAATTTGACCAAACTTACATAACCTTTTGACTTAAGATAACTAATTTGGAAGTTAGAGATACCACAGTCTTAGACTATTAGATGCATTAGATTGAAAGGCATAGAAAGATGTGGAAACAGGAAAGTTAAACATGGTTTGCATGACATTTCATGTGTCTGGATGGTTGCCTTCTGCTGGTACTGTAGGTGAGAGTGCAGCCCAGTGGGTTGGAGGAAATAGGAGATCCCCAGATGTTGGCAGTTAGAGCACTGATACCCTTAAGTGACTGGCCACTTTCGTCAGGATGAAATTTAAAAATTGAAACTTGGGCCAGGGAGATGGCTTAGCTGGATAATGGGATTGGGCAGCCTGCCTTTGATTCCCAGAGCTCACAAAATGGCAGAAGGAGAGAACTGACTTCACAGAGTCAATTCCTCTGACACATATATACCCACCAGCATGCATACACAATGATGATGATGACGATGATGATAATGATGAGTTTAAAGTTAAATCATCCTCACGATCTCCTGAGTGTGTTCTTTCTACTGTAATTTTGCAATGGACTTGACTTCTCCCCCTGTGAGCTCAACATCTAAGGGTTTGCATGGCCTGAAACACATATTTTAAATAATGGACCCCTGTGTGGTTTTCTACTCTTAGGTCCTTCATTCAGTGCAGATTGCTTCCTAAATGTTTACATCAGAACCTGGAAGAATCGGCCACAGACCCTCTCCCTCAGAGGATGAAGGATTCAGTGGTAAGACCTCAGCATGGCAGCTCAGTTTTGGTCCCGTAGGGAGGGACAGTGAGGGAATGAAGAAAGGACACATAGACACATAGGTAGGAAACTGGAGTCAGGTGGGGCTCTGTACAGTCACCCCTGCGACCTGGAACTTCAGTGTGTTTACTAGGTCCAGCGTGGGGGAGGGGGAGTTAGTAGGAGGTCTCTGGAGATGAGACCCCTTGGCCGGTAAACTTCAGGAAGGACACTGCAGTTGCTGCTATTTGTACACACGGACCAATCATTCATAAACTTAAGACTTCCAAGGAAAACTTAGCCATTCCTCTTGAGCCTGGCCCATATGGATAATGGCTTTTATCATTTCCCATGGGTCAGCTGGCCTTGGAGTCATTGACATGGTGTGCCTATGTCAAAATACACCTTCACTTAAGACCTCACTTACTCAGGGCTTCCTCCACCCCCTACATGAGCCAGCACACAGTGTTCCTCGGTGGCTTCAGCTCTGAGTGATAAACGGTGACCCGGAAGTGTAAACCAGATAAACACCCCTGCCACAGGTTTCTTTGGTCAGAGGGTTTTTATCACAGTGACAAAACGGAAACTAGGGCAGCATCCAAGGACATATCAATGTGAGGCATTTAACAACAGAGAAGAAGCTGCTGGAATGTGGAGCTAGTCACTAAAAATGAAGGAAGACACTGGCATTTCAAGCAACACAATCAGCCTTCCTGCGAATGTTGGACCGGGGGTCTTGGGACAGGACTTATTCCCCCACCCCTCATGGATATCTGACAGAATTTATGTTCCTGAAGTCTTCCTTGATGTTATGACTAATGATGTGTCTTTGTTATCTCATTTATTACAGTTGAAGCAAGCTAGGAATCAGAGTAACATGATGATAAATTTGCCCAACAGACACTGATAGCATGCCACTAGTGCAGTTAGATGTAATGAGTTACTTGCTGCTTTCCATGGTCTTTTAAGAAAATCATTTATACAGTTATTACTGGGGTGAGGAGAAAGGGTCCATATGCTACACTGTGCCTGTTGAAGTTGATTATATCCTTCCACCTTGTGTTTGCCTGTGTTTACCTTTACCCACTGAGCTCTCTCACTGGCCCCCACTTTCCTGCTCTTGTATAAGCTTTGTCCATTGGAAACTGTGATGTGTTAGATGATGTAATAGGATGTTTATACTCATCTCTCTGAGGAGTCCTCTTCTAATCATAATATTTTCATGGGGTTATCAGATCTGCATTCCCAGAATGACTTATCCAACCTTTGCTGCGAGTTAGAAACCCTGCTTTCTGTCTCTGGTTGTGCTTCTCTAGGTCTCTCTGCTCCTTTTTTTCATTGTCTGTGCGCCTTTCTCCTTCTATCTTCGGTTTGTATGAGAAGCTCCAGGGACCTTCATTAGATAGTGGGTTTTGCCCAGTTCCCCCACCCCTCCTTTTGAATCGTTTGACAAGCACTGGATCCTGGCACACACATTCTGCTATTCTGTCCAGGTTTTCAAAGACTGTACATGGAGAAAAGCTGACAGAGAAACCATGAGGGCTTGTGAGTTTCTGCAGGAGCAAGACAGGATGGGTCATGCACACAGACCTCACCCCCAAAATTTACTCAACGAGTAATGAAGATTTGGACTTTGTCCTCATGGTTTGCAGCGTTCTTTTTCCATGTGCCTCATGCACACAGCCTTTCCAGCTTTTGCCCCACCCTCTCCTCCCATGTTCACTAGTCTCAAGACTCCTGGCCAAGTTTAGAATGGATACTTCTGTTATATGTTCAGTTAGTATGGACCAATACATTATTTTTTTAAACCTCTTATTATTGTCTATAAAATTCATGCAACTTCTGAAACATTCATTGTAGTGTCTAGATTTTTCTGGTTTCCTCGCTGTCTAAATCTTTAGGTTGTACAGTGTTCGCATAGCTTCTTATATTTCTCTTCAGGGAAGGAGCATGGAGTCCTACCAGGAATGCCACAGTAGGGCTGGGGGCATGGCTCTGTTGGTGAGGTGCAAGCATGAGAACCTGAGTTTGATCCCCAGAACCCACATGCAGAAGCTGGGTGTGATGCTGTGCTTTTGTAAGCACCCTCCCCCCCCCCATGCACACACTGGGGAGATGGAGACAGACTGATCTCCTGGGGCTTGCTAGAGAGCCATTGTAACTTACTTGGCAAGTTCCAGACCAGTGTTACTCTGTTCCAAAAATAGAATGATTGGCCTATGAAGAATGATGCCTGAGGTAGATGTCTAGCTTTTACACACACACACAAACACATTCTCTCTCTCTCTCTCTCTCTCTCTCTCTCTCTCTCTCTCTCTCTCTCTCTCTCTCTCTCTCTCTCTCTGTCTCTCTCTCTCTCTCTCTCTCTCTCTCTCTCTCTCTCTCACACACACACACACACACACATGCACATCCCTCCTCCCTGGCTACAATAAATTTGAATTGCTTAATATACTGAGAACACATGTATCTCTTGGTTAAACATACATGACTCTACCATTAATTTGGGGGAAATTATCACCACTGGATATCCTGGCATAAAACTTGACATGAGGGAAAAAAATGCAGCTAAGGTGCCTTTTAAAAAGAGCATGCACAGGAAATCTTATTGAAGTCAGTTATGATTGCTCGAAGGATCCACAAATGCCAGCACAGAAAAGAAAAGGAAGAAAGCAGGAGCACATCATCAAACCCGAATAACTTTCAACAGCAAAGCCAGAGCTCACCCAAGCTCACAATGGTGGGAAACACATGGAGTGATAATGGGGATGAGTGCAGCAAGCTGTGGCTGGAAAAGCAAATGGGGGTAGCCTATTAAAATGTAAATGAAGCTCCCATAGCAGCGATGGATAGACCTCCCCTGGCTTCAGGTGGGAAGACTGAGGCTTATAAACTGCAAAGCCTTTCAAAATATTTTTAGTGCTTAATGCAGTTCAAAACATTCCCAATGGAATCAAATTCACAGCCTTGACAAATGATTATAAGGTTTATTTAGAAAAATAGTAGCTCATGGTTTAAGAAAGACTTGAAAGAGAGGGATGAGAAAGGGGAATTTAGTGCTTTGGGACTTAAGAGTCTATAAAAAGGTTGAATCAGGAGGAAAAAGGAGAGAGAGAGAGACCCTTCCAAGATCAGAGTAGGATTAGCAGATCTGAGGAATGCAGAAAGGGGGCCGTCATGAGAATACATTGTGTGAAAATTAAATGTCACAATGGAGAATCAACTATTCGATGTGTGGTGTTCAGCGTGGGAGAAAAAAAAATTTTACGTGCTAATCCTTCAATAGACAGCAGGGTGTGTCACAAAGGGATTAGAGAGTTTCAGGAAGACAGGAGAGAGAGTGAGCAGAGAAGAAATCAGCAGGAACCTGCCCACCTGGCATTGGGGCAGATAAATCATCAAAACAAACTTGCTGATTAAAAGTAAAACAATCTGAATCAGATATGTCCCTGTTCTTATTTTTTTTAAATATCAATAAGAAGCCTGAGAGAAGAATAAAGGTGATTCTGGACAAGTGGGGGGTTCAAGCCAACAGGGCAGGGTACTCTTTATTTGAGGGCATGTGGGAGGATTTGACCTTTGGTCTTCAGCTCTCACACAGTGGAAAGAAATCAGTTCTGGAGCTGCAGGATGAGGTGTTCAGTGAAAGGCCACCACCATCAAGGGACACTGAGGTTGATTTTAGCTGCAAGAGAAACCCTCTTCTTCGTGGAGCTGCAAAACTATTTCAAACAAGTGGACTGTATAAAAGTCCTCGCTTTGTGAGCTTAGTTAGAGGTGACCTTTGGTGGAGGAGACGTGCCTCGGTTGTAAAGAGCATTTGCTGTTCTTCTAGAGAAGCCAAGTTCGGTTCCCAGTACTCACAATTGATTGTAACTTCAGCTCCAGGGGACCCAACGCCCTCTTCTGGCGTCTATGGGAACCTGTACATAAGTGGCACACTCACAGAGATACACTGAAATAAAAAAATAAAAATAAATAAATAAATCTTAAAACTTGAGCATTTACAAATGACAAAATAAAATTAGACTCCATGTCACACTGTCCTTCCAAGTCAGCCCTAGTGAATTGCAAACCCAGAGGTGGGAGGATGGGACCTGAGAGCCTGGAGACCTGTAGCTATGACACTGTTTCCCACCAGCCTTTACAATATCACTACTTAGGAAGGGACAGTTTCAGAAACAAAACCAAAAAATTGAATCCATCACTACCTCATAAATCAGCAGATTATAATTTTTCTTTATTGTTCTAAATTATAAAGGAGCATAAAGAAAATAAGACAGAGAATATGAGGCAATTATTTGCAATGAAGACCCCTATACTGCATAGCCGATCCTGTAGTTAAAATTAGTGTGTCCTTGGGAGATTGTGGACCTTCTGGGGCACGTACCCAGAATACGGAAGGGTTATAGTTATTTTAGAAAACAGTTTGGATTTTTTTTTTAAGTTAAGCCCCAGTGTTCCATATAAACCAGCCATTTACCCCCCAGATATTTACACAAGAAACAAAGAATGCATGTTCCTAGAGATAATATCATGAATATTCACAGCAGTTTTATGCAGAACAGTCAAAACTGGGAGCACACCCAAGGTCTGTCCACATATGAATAAACACACTGTGGTATAGCCTGCAAAAGAATATGCCTCAGCAACAAAGAGGAATAAGTCTAACAGACAATAACCTGGAACAAATACCGGAATAATTATACTGTATGTGGTGTTTTAATAAAAATGGCGCCCATAGGCTTAGATATTCGCATGCTAAATTCCCAGTTGATACACCATTTGGAAAGGGTTAGGAGGTGTGACATTGCTGAAGTATATGTGTCACTTTGGGGTAGGCTTTGAGGTTTAAAAGACCATGCCTCCCTCTGCCTGTTGCCTGTGGATAAGGATACAAATCCCTCAGCTACTGCTCCAGCACCATGCCTGTCTACTTCCCACCATGATGATCATGGACTAGCTCTTTAAAACTGTCAGCCAGGCCCCAATGAAATGCTTCCTTCGTAAGAGTTGACTTGGCCACAGTCTCCTCACAGCAATAGAACAGTAACTAAGAACAAAGAAGCCAGACCCACTATGTGATTCAATTTATACAACATTATGAAAGTGAGATCAGATTACAAACATGGAGTAGATCAGTAGTCCCACAGAGAGTGTGGGCAACGGCAGAAAGGAAACTCCAGAGCCAATGAGCATGATAATTCACATATTCACCATTAAACTAAACCATCAATGGTGATGGTCTTTTGGAGGTAGGGATGTGTCAACACTCATCATGCTGGGACTGGAGAGATGCCTTCGTGATTAAGAGCACTCGCTGCTCTAAAAGAGGCCTTGGGTTCAATTCCCAGTACTCACATGTCAGACCACAACTATCCACAACTCCCGTTGCAGGGGATCCCATGTTGTCTTCTGGCCTCCACAGGTACCAGGTATGCATGCATGCAGACAAAACACTCATACACATAGAATAAAAATGAATAAATCTTAAAACCTCATCAGGCTTTATATTTTTAACACATCAATTGTACCTCAACAATGCTGTGTAAAGCTTAGTATAAGGAAAAGAAATGGGTGGAGAGAGCAGTTTGTAAGTAGAGAAACGCTGTGCAGTGGTCTGTGTTTCACAGGAAGGACACTCACATCAGACAAGAACCACAGTGCCAGGCTGGCCAGAGGCTCAGTAGGCAGAGTTCTTACCTAACGCACACAGAGCCCTGGGTTCATTCCCTGGCGCTATGTAAACTAGGTATGGTAGACTATGTAGACTGTAATCTCAGAATGTGAAGGGTGGAGACAAGTTCAAATCCAAGCTGGAATAGGAGAGCCTGTCTCTAACTAACTACAGTATTGTTCTAACTTGGGAAAAGAATTAAAGCAATCTGTGCTCCTGTTTGCCCTTCCTCTAAGAGAAGGAAAATGGCAGCCCTCCAGACTTACCTGCCCACAGTGGAACTGATGGCCCATTGTTCACACTTCAAACAGGTAAACTGGTCAATTAAATATGACCCAATTTAAACCAGACTACTTGGTAAAACATTAGTCTTCCCTGTGGACAAATATTTAGTAATTTTAAATGACAAACTCATGCCAAAGAAAACAGAAAAGAAGCTAACCATCTTTATAGCCAGAAAATGCTACGGATGGCACACTCGCCCTGTGGGAGGACTGGGGTTTCCTAAGTGTGAAGAATGACAACAGAGCCTAGACAGATTTTATTTTTTAGGGCTTCAAAAATAGATTTCCCTTGATGAAGATAAAGCTAAAATAAATCAAATCTCAAACCACTGTTTGTCCTAGTTTTAATTGTCAACTTGACACAGCCCAGTGTCATCTGAGAAGGGAGTAGAGATTGAGGACTTGCTTAGATCACATTGGCCTAGGGACCTGTCTTTGAGGATTGTCTTGATTATTAATTGACATAGAAGGGTGTATCCCACTGTGGGCAGCGACATTCCCTAGGCAGGTTGTCTGGGCTGTACAAGAAAGCTAGTTAAGCACAGGATTATAGTGAGCCAGCAAACAATGTGCCTCCGTGGTTCCTGCTTCAGTTACGCCATCCAGTGATAGACTGTGTGAGAGCAACCCCCCCCACCCCAGGCTGCTTTTGCTTTGGCCATAGCAACAGATGGAAACTAGGGCAGTGCATTATCACTTTGGTTCTTCCCACGTTCAGTACTTGCCACCTTGCAAGAGGAAGCTCAGGACAGGTGCATCAGGTACACAGCATGCGATGGTGTAGGGGCTGTGGTCTTCCTGAATCACCCCATTGATGTAACCGCTCCACACGGGTGGCTTCACCCACCACACACCGTCAGTGTCAGTGCTCTCTTAGTGTCCCCACTATCTATGCTAACACAGGCACTGAGCTGGTGGCATGATAGGGAAGAAACAACACACTGTGTAAACTTAAAAATCGAGAAAGGAGAGTGAGGTGGGGTGACTCACCTGCAGGCCCATGTGTATTTAAGTAGCTGGAAAGTGGTGGTCTTTTCTTTGTTTTTGTTTGTGTTTGAGTATGGATCTGATGGTTGAATGAAAATGTACAATTAGTGTGGTCCAAAGTATAAGACTTGTGTGCAAGGCTTCTGTTTGGTGTCCCTAGACTGTAGATGTGTTGACACCCAAGGCCACCCGGGATCTCATAGAGAGTGTTAGCAGCATCAGCCCTGCTTTGTGAGACCCTGTCAGGTGGGGAGGGGGGCTGTGGGAGGTCTGTGGGGACTCTGTGCCCCATCTGAGTTTGTGGAAAGGGACATTAGGCCTCCTATGTGTAGACACCTGTGTTCTTTCCGTGGGTGCTAATCCACTAGCACCACACCTGCCTCGCTCTTCCTGAGAGGTCCACGGTGGAAGCCAGTGGGCAAGCTAGTGAATGATGCCTCTGGGGCGCTTCTGGGGATAGCTCTGACATGTGGAGGAGCAGCCTGTGGAGTGTTGGTGTCCTGCCACTGAGGGCTGCCCAGGAAGTCACACAGAGCTGACCTCACAGCCAGCCTTCTCTTTCCAGAAGGACGTCCTGCGATCCGATCTTGTCGTCTGCTCAGCAGCTGCTGTCCTCTCCTTTGCAGTCAGTGCCAGCACTGTCTTCCTGTCCTTACGGGTAGGTGTCCCCAAGGCTCTGTCCTCCCTTTCCCAGTGGAGGTCGATATGGAATGAGGGCACAGGGGGCAAATGAGCCAGGGGAAAGGGCAGAAGGCCAAGAGAGAGGGTTAAGGAGCACACACACACACAGACACACACACACTGACACAGATACATAGACACACACACACACACACATACACTGAGAACTATGTCTCAGAGGAGACTTTGGCCACCTACCCTTGTGTCATCTCTGCTGGGGGGAAGTATTTTGTCTCTCAGGGTGATGGAACAACTTGTAATCAAGGACAGTTGTTGGTGTGGTGGGCTGGGAACAGACAGCGACCCCATCAGTAGATAGAGAAGTAGCTGTATCTGGGATAAGACAAGTCACAGTGGCAGGACCATTTGGACATTTTCACTGAGAGCGAGCACAAGCAAGGGCCGCATGGGATTCTGCCGTACAGTTCTTACAGGATGTTGCTGTCTCTTCGCAAACATGGGGCACTCACAGCCTCACCTTCCTGGAGCATTCTGTCTATGTGCACTGTTCTCTAGTTCTAGAAAAGCTGGAGATGTGTTCCAGGGGGTAGAATTCTCCCAGCCTCTTGCAGGGGTCACTCCCCCCCCCCTTTCTTAGCAGCTCTGAGCATGTAGATCTTCCTAGGAGAGGGGAAGAGGCCTGGGGACATGGCTTAGTCAGCAGTTCTTGCCTCGCATGCCTTGCCAGCCAGCCTCGACTACTTAGTGAATTCTAGGCCAGTGAGAGACTGCCTCAGAAGACAAGGTGAATGGCACCTGACCAATGACATCCAAGATTATCCTCTGACCTCCTCATGCATACATGTAAATGTACATCTGCAAGTATATAACACGTGTACACCAAAAGTTGTGAGGAAAGAGAGGAGTGATAGCGGGTTTATGTGTTACTCATAAGCGTGTCTCCATTGACCCTTGACCTCTTTCTCCTTTGCAGCCTTTTCTCAGCATCGTGCTCTTTGCCCTGGCAGGCACAGTGGGACTCATCACCCACCACCTGCTCCCTCAGCTCCGAAAGCACCACCCCTGGATGTGGGTTTCACACCCTGTGCTCAAGAGCAAGGAGTGCCAGCAACGGGAAGCAAGAGGTCAGTGTCCCAGTCTTACGAGAGCCAGTGATTCGGGCGACATCCTTCTGGTGGCCTGTGGGCACAGCTTCGTGAGTGTGCTCCATGCCACAGGGCTGCACGCTTCGAAGGACCCAGGGTTTGCTACATGTAATAAAAAACAAAGAAAGTCTGTGTGCTTCAGAATCTAGGTGTCGCCCAAAACAGGCCGGTAAGAAAGGAATTCTGTCAAATTAGATGTGTGTTCTGTTAAAGTAGCCACTGCTTACTGATTTCACAGGAAAATTAACTTCTGTTGTTCATGCTTGAAGGGTTACAATTCTAATACTAAGGAGAACATCACTTCACACTGGACTATTAACTATCAGGCTCTAGGTTCTTGAGTTTCCATGAACTGTCTGTGTGTAGACAAACAGCTGTGTCCACATGGGTTGACCCAGAAGATCCCATGGGAGAAACAGCCTGGAGTAAGGCAGTTTCAGAGCTTCAGATAAGAAATACTCTTCCTGGAAGCTGGGGGTGTGGCTCTGTTGGTGGAATCCTTGCCAAGCAAGCAAGCAAGCAAGCAAGAAACTATAGGTTTAATCTCTAGCACAGAGTAAACTGGGTGTGGTGGCACATGCCTGAAATCCCACCATTTGAAGGTAGGTGTTGGAGGAGTGGATGTTCAAGGTCATCCTCAGGTCATCCTCAGCTATATAGTAAGTTTGAGGATAGCCTCTAAATAAAAATAAATTTTAAAAATGTAATTTGTTTTCTAGATAGGAGTTCTTGCTATTTCATGGTGAGTCCCCCTTTGCTCTGCAATTTCTTGCTCCATGCATAAATAGATGCAAGGGAGACTGACTCGTTCTTACTTTCAGACATTTAAATGAACCCCCAGTAAATTTTAAGCCATTGAAATTGCCTGGCACTGCTGGGCCTGCGCAGTCACTCAGCCTACAGTAACCTCTTGATTACTGCATATTCAGCTGTGCCTTTCAGACACCAGGTGGGTAGAGGCATCAAAAGACTCAAGGAAGGTTCTAGATTTAGTAGCTTCAGTGGCCTAAGATGCCAAGAGAAATAAGAAAAAGTCATGAAAAGGAAGAACAAAGAGTCAGTGAGGTGCTGGTCCAGTACAGAAAGCCTGTGGCAGAGGATGGCTTTTGGTGGGGACCAGAAGCTGTCTCGGTTGTAGGCAGTACAAGATGGAGAAGCGTGGGTAGTGAGAGAAGTAACGTGCCTGAAACTTTCAGCTTCAGTGGAGAAATGGAGGATTGTAACTCAGGTTCTGGTTCCCACGCCTCCTCCTCAAAGGAGAGCCTGGCTAAACGGTGATACTGGTGTGCTCTTTAACATTCTAGGCACTGTCATGTGCCACTTGAATGCAGAGTATTGCCATCATACAAAGACCTAAAGTAAGACAGCAGTGGTTCCTTTATAATTGTCCATTTCATAGATGGCTTGGAGAGAATAGGCCTGTCCTGGTTTGCATAACCACCAGGACCAAAAGCAACTTGGGAAGGAAAGAGTTTATTTCATCTTATGACTTTCTGGTCACACCCCGTCTCTGAAGGAAGTCAGGGTAGGAACTGAAGCAGAATCCACGGAGGAGTGCTGCTTTCTGGCTTGCTCAGCCTGCTTTCTTCTGACACCCAGGACCAGCTGTCTAGGGAAAGCACAGTCCACCATGGGCCGCCCTCCCACATCAATCATCAATCAAGAAAAAGCCCCACAGGCTTGCTTCCCTCTTCTCAGGGGCGTCAGGGTGACAACTGGAGCAACAATGACACTTGCTATTCGATGGTGGATTGCTTATTTTCCTTCTTGCTGCAGCAAGAATACCAAAGGGAGTGTTTGCTTTGGCTTGCAGTTTGAAGGAGCAGCTCATCTTAGCTGGGGAGGTCTGAACTTTGAGGCAGCTGGTCACATGGCATCCACAGTCAGGAAGCAGAGAGAGATGGATGCTGGTGCTCAGCTCATTCTCTCCTCTTTACCCTAGGCAAAGGACATGGAAGAGTGCTATCCATAATTAAAGTAGGTTTTCTCACCTCTTAACCAAATCCAGACAATCCCTCATGGCTACGCCCAGAGGCCTGTGTCCCAGGTGATTCTAGATCCTGTCAAGTGGACAATGATGATTAGAAACTAGAAAATACGTGGGATCGAGTGACTGAATGTCGAATCTGGTACATGGGTGCCATCCAGCAAGTGCTGGTTGAGTGAACAGATGAGTTGGCCATTGCTTTGTAAATTCACAGAAGGAACGGGGTGCCTGTGGGCTGGTGTGTGCAGGGAGATGTCTGGAGGTGGAAGGCAGGTGGAAACACACAGGAGAGCATGCTGGCTGTGAAATGTTTACACTTTAATTTCTGGGTGCATTAGAATAAATGAATAAGGATTATGTAAATCATTAAAGCACATCAACGGAGGATCTCATTTAGATATCAATTTTTAAAAATGAACTATTAATGATTCAGTAACAAGTCCCAGACTTGTGGTTCCTAAATGAGATCTATCTTGTGCTGTAGCGCGACTAGTCTCTGCTGTGAGACTCACTGGCTTCTACACGTGATAGATGTAGCTCGGAGGGAAGCTGTCTTCCCATGTATCTGTCACTTATGTCAAAGTGACTGCGAGTGTTAGAAATCAAATAGAACAAGCTATAATGAAAAGCAGCAGCTGCCTGTCAGCTCGGCCCCTCCCATCTCGGGTCCCTCCTTTCCAAGAAAAACTACTTCCTCCTCTGTGGATAGCCTGTTGATTTACCATAATTCTTCTAAACAAAGCCACCATATTTGCTCCATCCCTTGGCATATCTGATTTGCTTATCTATCACCTTGTGAAAGAGGCATTTCACTCCCCTAGTCTGGCAGGCCTCTCTACTTGGCTGGGACACTTATCTCCCTGTGTCAGGCGCCACAGAGCTGAGCGGCCGAGGTGACAGCAGTAAGCTGTCACTGAGGGGGAATGAATGGTGTGGCATCCAGTTATCTCCACTCTAAGGAGAGTGGGCCAGAGAAATTCAACCTAGGGAGGAAAAGTTTTAGGGGACTCATGGTTCCGGGGCTTTCAGTCCTCCAAGGTAGGGATGACACAATCAAAGCAGTTCAGTTCATGGCGGGGGAGGGAGGGTGGGAAGGTGGGGGCTGCAGGGTTGTTCACATCATAGACAACCAGGACAAAGGCGGCAAAGCTGGAACCCGGGGTCAGACCGCACCCTCTGAGGACCACTCCTAGGCTTCTAGTGATCCATTTCTCCTAGCAAGGCCCCGCCTCCCAAAGACTCCATACTGTCCTCACACAGTGACAACAGTTAGGGACCAAGCATTCAAACATGAACTTGTGAGGGACATTTCAAAAGCAAATAATAAGAATATGAGTTTGTTATCACTGGGGTGTGGACAGAAATTTTAAAAGGACAACTTTGAATCAAGTGAATTCTAGACGCAGTAGTGATTTAAAGAGCTATCCAAACGAAGACTAGAAGGGAGGGAGGGAAGGAGGAAGGAAGGGAGAGAGAGGGAAAGAAGAAAGGGAGGGAAAGACAGAGGAAGGAAGGGAGAGAGAGGGAAAGAAGAAAGGGAGGGGAAGACAGAGGAAGGAGGGAAAAAGAAGAAATAGACACTATCTAGGGGTTTCTGCTGCTGCAATGAAACACCATACCTGAAAGCAGTTTGGGGAGGAAAGGGTACGTTTTGCTTGTATTTTCATATCACAGTTCATTATCAAAGGTACTCAGAGCAGGAACCTAGAGGCAGAGGCCATGGAGGATGCTGCTTACTGACTTGTTCCCCATGGCTTGCTCAGTCTGCTTTCTTATAACACCAGGGCCACCAGTCCAGGAATGGCACCACCCACAGTAGGCTGGGCCCTCCCCCATCAGTCACTCACTGAGAAAATGCCTACAGCCTGGTCTTATACAAGCATGTTCTCAATCGAGGTTCTCTAGTTTGTGTCTAGTTGACGTAAAAACCAGCCAACACAGTGCCTCACAAAATGGTACCCGATGCGTTATATTACACTGGTTGAAGGAGGAAAAAAAAAAGGAATTCCTAAGCATGGCCCTAAAATGAAGAGCCACCAAAGAAACGAAGGATATGTTTCATTCCTCAAAATCTGTGAACCTAGGGATGGAGAGATGGCTCAACGGTTTTAAGAGTGTGCACTGCTCTTGCAACGGACCTGAATTTGGTTGCTATCACCTATGACAGTTGGCTCACAACTGCTTCTAGCAGCTCCAGGGGATCTGATGCCCTTTTCTGGCCTCTGAGTGTACCTGCACTCACATGCACACATCCACACACGTATATTCTCATATTTCAAAGTAATACATCTTTTTTTGAAAACCATGAATTTAAACCTGTCGTTCCTGCCTATTGCTCTTACTGCCTTTTGCTTGTTTGAAAGTTTGCCATGGTGTGAAACTTGATTGCATGTGTTAGCTCAGCCAAAAACCCAAAGTGCCCAGTGTATGCCAAACACAATGAAGAGTGCAGAGGCAGGAGTCAAACCAGCGGAGGAAGCAGGGTGCTCCAACCAGGATTCCATCCTGACCCCACCTGAAGGGACCCCACCACGCCCGCCACACCCGCCACACCCCACCACACCCGCCACACCCCACCACACCCCACCCCACCACACCCACCACACCCCACCACACCCCACCACACCCAACCACACCCCACCACACCCCACCACACCCACCACACCCCACCACACCCCGCCACACCCCACCACACCCGCCACACCCCACCACACCCGCCACACCCCACCACACCCCGCCCCACCACACCCACCACACCCCACCACACCCCGCCACACCCCACCACACCCGCCACACCCCACCACACCCGCCACACCCCACCCCACCACACCCACCACACCCCGCCACACCCCACCACACCCGCCACACCCCACCACACCCCACCACACCCCACCACACCCCACCACACCCACCACACCCCACCACACCCCACCACACCCGCCACACCCACCACACCCGCCACACCCACCACACCCCACCACACCCGCCACACCCGCCACACCCGCCACACCCACCACACCCCACCACACCCCACACCAGCTTTGATCTACAAGGTTGCTTCTTTAGTCACGTCCTTAGCCAGTCAATGAACTGGTGATGTGTCCTCCCTATCGCTGGGTGACTGTCACAGAAGAAGACAAAAAGCCATTTGGTACCGCTATGGCTGTCCCCGATCAAGAGAGGAGCAGATTCCTAATTTAGATCCAAGGGGGAGGAAGGGACCACTGAGGCCTCCAGGCATGGCGTGAGATGCCAGCAGCTCTGAACTAATGAGGTTACAGAGAAAGGAAAGGTCATGAACTTTGAGACTGATTATCCCAAGCAGAGTCCGAGAGCCCCAAGCGGTCCTGTGTTGTGTTGTGCTCTATGTTAGAAGTGCAGCCTATGTATAGGGAATTGACATGGATGATGTGTGTCACTGGGAAGGACTTTGCAGCCTTAGTTCCATACCAGAAGGAAGAAGAGAGCGAGGAATAGCTGTAGGTAACAGATTGTCCACGCCAGGGTGCTAACTCCCCAACTATGTTCATGCCACTCAGTAGGATTTGTCTGTCCCAGGTGTCACTGTCCCCCTCAGTGCCCCAATCCTTTTAGCTCCTGTCCTGATTCTGATCTGAATAGATTGGTTTCCTAAAGCTTGAAAGCATCCTGAGGGTTCCTGATTAATTTTTAATTATTGGTAAGACCATCATAGTCCCATAGGCACCTAAATAAAACACAACCTGAAAACCCTTTAAGAAAATTTAAAGCCTTGAACTGCAGTGAGCCGTCTATAAACTTGTAAATGGCATCATTATTTTGCATTTTGTCGCTCGGGGGGCCTCATATTCCAAGGGAAAGAGAAAGAACAATTCTTTGGTAATGTGTTTTTATGGTCTCTTTGCATATTGAGGACGTTCCAGAGAGGCAGTTCTAAAATATGATCACACAGCGTTTCTTTTTAACTGTACTGTGTATGACTACAGAGACAATTTGGGGACTGAAGACACACATTTATCATGTTACTGCATTCACAAGGTATACTTTTTGTTAGCTTCCCCTGGTTTCCTTACAAGAAAGGATTTAGTTAAAATTTCAGAATTCTGGACCTGGTCTTCTGTTTAAGCCTCCTTCCATATTATCAGTTACCGTATGACGTGCCCTTCTGCCCCCAACTATAAACGTTCTTTGTGAGATCCTTGGGCCCAAAGCTTAAAGCTTCTCATTAGAATACATTACTGGGGTTGGTAGGATACTGAGACACACAAGAATTAAAATGAAATTCTTTTCCATCAGTAGCTGAGTAAACAGACCCTGACCTCGCAGCTTGGGAGCGGGGGATCTTAAATCTACTTCGGCTCTACTGTTCCATAAGGTTGAAATGGCTTCCCTACCATCCAGCCTGCACCCCATGCCTGCTGGTGTGAGCCAGAGGGCGCTTCTGCTTCCCCTTCTCTGAGCTTCCTTACTGAGAGATACAGGATCTGTCTGTGGCAGGCATCACGTCAGCTACTATCAAGCTCATGTCCCTCGTAGCACTCTGGTGGCTAAGAGCCCTGAATTGAGTGGGTTAGCCTGGGTTCTCCCTCAGTCCTCCTCCCCTTCTCTGCCCTCTCTCCCTCTCTTTCCCTCCCTCTCCCCCTCCCCCCCACCTCTGTGTGTTTTCGTATGCGTCTAAGCTTCTATAGAATAATAGTAAACATTTTGCATAAACACAGTTGTCTGTGAAATTTGGTAGCTCAGACCTTTAATCTCAGCACTCTGGAGGCAGAGGCAGATTGATCTCTGTGAGTTCAAGGTCAGCCTGATCTACATAGTGAGTTCTGGGCCAGCCAGGTCTACTGAGTAAGACCCTGTCTCAAAAACAAAATACTAACTCTCACCTCAAGGAGAAGAGATCTTATTCGGGAGCCAAATATGAGTGACCCTGGTTCAGGAACACAGACTTAGTTTACCCCAAATTCCATATTCTAATGTGGTGACATTTTCATGAAGATTTTACAGTAAAAACAAAGGAAGTTGTAAATTGAGGCACTTTAAAAATATATTGATGGGAACATCAGGTATCAGGTTACAGTGAGGAGGACGGTCTGTCTCAGCAGCTGTCTGTTGATGCTCTTAGCCTTTGGGTTGGTGAGTCCAGGGTTCCATTTGTAAGTTCCTTTTGTGTGTGTGTGTGTGTGTGTGTGTGTGTCATTTGTATAGGTGTCTGCATGCTCAAGGGTGTGAGCACTTGTGGATATGAGTGATGTGGAGACACCTGGTGTCTTTCTTGACCATTTTCCATTTTATTATTTCCATGTATTATTACTGAGCAGTTAGACAAGCTAGCCAGCTTGCCCTGGGGATCCTGTCTCTACCTCCTGCGGCTGGCTGCCTTGCCTGTCTCGCTTCTTATGTTGGTTCTCAGATGCAAACTTCAGTTTTCACACTTGCCCATTAATGTGCTTTTCTGACTGAGCCATGAGAAGGGATCTTACCCTATAGTTATAAGGATGCTAGGTCAAACCAGATAACTCAAGATAATTTGGCTCTGGACATTTGACATTCCCACTGTCCACAATCCTGAAAATTTTAAACTGTCAATCATTCAGTCAGTGTAATATGGGCTGTTTATCAGGGCACAGCTCTTTTTCTGGAAACTTGAGACTGCAGGATGAATGGTTTTGGGATTGATTCTTAGGGTTGTTTTTTTTCCTGCATAAGTGGGACACAGAGCTCCTTCACAGCTGTCATTGTGCAGCTTCTGTCTGGTGACAGGGTCAGCGTGTCTTAAGAATCCAGGCACCACCTATCCACATCCCTGATTGTGTGGCCTGGCCATGTGGAGTATGTGCTTCATAAAATGCCCCCTTGTAGAGTCAGGTAATAGGAAGACCTCTCTGTGACCAAATGCCTAGCAAAACCTTTTTTTCCTGGCTAGGGGCAATTCATATTCATTAGGCTGATGGTTTCAGAGGATTGTAGTCCACTACAGTGGGCAGAATGGGAAGGTTGTTGCAGCTTGGATGTTCTGTGGGTTCAGGAGCTGGCATCAGGGATGTGGCATCACTACAGCTTGAGACATAGAGAAGAACTCTGACCAGCGAAGCTGGATTAGAAGGCCCAACCCACAGTGACTACTGGTGCTTAGCTCCCACATGCCAAAAGGTTCTAGGTCCTCCAACAATGGTACCACCAGCTGTGGATCAACTGTGCAAACAGGTGAGGCTGTGGGGACATTTCATATTCAAACCGTAAGAAGCATTAGTACTTGAGTCTCCCAGAAGCTTTAATATCACAAACACATGGCTCAGAGTGGCAGTGGTACTGTGGTTTCAGTTATACATAGACACATGCATAGACTCATGAACAGACGCATGGACACCACAGGAACACAGACACAAAAGTGGACACATAAACACACAGAGACACATACAAACATAGACAGATAGGCACAAACACAAACATAAACACGCAGATATGCACATAGATACACAGAGAGGTAGACAGCTACATAGACATGGACAAGCACACACAAACAGACATATTCGCACATGACTCAGATGGTTGCTGGCTCGCTGAACAAGTCATCCTACTTTTACATACTTGGCAAATCACAGGAGGTGAGTTTGGCACCAACGGCTCATTATGTTTTCATTGAAATTTGTTGCTTTCTGTTTCTTGAGTTAGTAACTGAAGCCGGCGAACACCCTGCCTTTCTTATCATGTTCTGCGTAAGGCCCCATCGCCACGATGGAAAGATTCCCACCTTCTCTGCTCCTCATTTCAGATCACTCCTGTCAAGTCATTCTTGTTGCTACACACTGGAAAATAGCATTTTCTAAAAGCAAACATGACAAGCTTTTGAAAATCTGCCACGTACACCCCTCCCCCAACCAGATGGCTCCCTGCTCTTCCCAGCCTTGGCACCCATTGCTTCCTCTGACGCACTGTGGGTGACATGGCTTGGATGTCTGTCCCTTAACTTTTAAGGTTGTCATGTTTCCCTGAATTGATGACAAATGTTGATAGAACCCTAACGTATTTTCTGAAACAGGCTGAATGAGTTGGTTTTGATATGATGGCCTCAATCTGACATTGTTGATTTCTTATAAATGGAGAAATCAGAAAAAAGTTGATTCTGTGCAGAAAGAAACCCAAACAACTGATCTTTCAAGGGATGAAACCAGGGAAGGGGAGGAAAGGAAATGGAAGGGAGGGGAAGGGAGGGGAAGGGAGGGAGAGGAAGGGAGGGGAGGAGAAGGGAGGGAGGGGAGGGGAGGAGACAGTCCTACCTCTGTGTCCACCATCCTTTATGAACTCCATCCTCTGACTTCTCTGTTTTAGTGGAATCTGACATACCTTTTGTTTTTCTTTGTTATTCTTTACCTTCCCAAGATAAAGATAATTGTCCTTATCTAATTAAAAACAAAGGGAGGTTTGGCATTTATAAACCTTACTTGAAAAGAATTTACTGTAGAGAGAAAAGATTTAGTGACTGAGGAAGTAAAATACCAAGAGAACAAACAGAAGAGGGAGGACAGTGACTTGATGACCTATGACTGCCTTTCATTGTCCATAAACCATTTCCAGAGAAGTCAGTTGTCTTGAAAACATGGATGCTGACATGTATGGTATCGCCTGTGGACTGGACAGAATCCAAATGGAGAGCAGCAGCTCATAACGAAACCTGGCACACGGTGCCTGGATCCAGGAGCCCACTCCGTCCTGCTGAATGGGGAGAGCACTGGCTGTTTGCCTGTAAGAGGAGTCACAGGGTGGATTTTGTATTTCTTTCAGATATTGCTCATTTGATGTGGTTTGAGAGACTCTATGTATGGCTCCAGTGTTTTGAAAAATATCTCTTGTACCCGGCCATCGTCCTGAATGCCCTCACTCTTAATGCCTTCTCCATAAGCAACTACAGGAGACTCGGGACCCAGTAAGTAGAGGACAGTTTATTCTCATACTAATTTGGATTACATTGTCAGAACCAAGTGTGCTTTCTCTAAACAGACTACAAAAGGCCAATGGCCCAGGCCATGTATACCGGCCTCATGAAAGGAACCAGGGCGGTTTTGCACTCAAATCCATTTAGAGTAGACAGTTGCTGTGCAGTGACAGGGACGCACACAAAATTTGATCCTCCCACAATGGTACCAAGGATAAACATCAGGGGGCCTGAACACCTCCCTGCCGAAGTTGATGGCTCCCCTCAGGTGACAGGAGCTCAGCATGAATCGGAAATCCAGGAGTCTTCGCCGCTGTGCTTCAAGCTTTGCAAATTGCTTCGTATCATTTTCGTTTAGCAAATACCATGCATTGGGGAGGGGGAAAGAGACCCTGTCACCACTTCCTGCATTTATCAAGAGGTGCCTCATCAAGGTGTCCGTGTTCTTGCAAAGCATGAGCCCTGTAAGATCAAATCATTACTTTCATAGACAAAAATTAATTCTGAATTTACAAATGGAAATGTACTGGGTAATTTGCAGATCTGTCATTCTGACAGAAGGTGAGAGGCATATTGCCATGGTGGGAGGAGGTGTGGAAAAACAGTGTCCTAGAAGAAAGGTTTCCCACGGGTCTGCCTTGGGCAGCTGCTCAGTAGATGCCGTGACAGGAAATTTAGGGAGTTGACTTTTAAAGGGGACCAGACAGCCTGTGGTCACTAGAACAACAAACATGAGGAACATTGGAGGTGCAATGTAGGAATAAAAATAGTTTTATTAAAACTCCACATTTCTCTCTGTGTTTGGAGCATAATGTTGTCTCTTGCCAGGCCACTGTTTCAGGTGTTCTGTTGTCTTGACAAGGCATCCTACCTGGGACAGAACACTGTTTTGTAGCTATCTACAAGTTTTCCATGGCATGCTCTCACATGGCATCCATGGCCTCGGAGAAACCCTGAAAGCACTCTGTGACTGCTGAGAACAAGGACTCGTGACCAGTTTTTGATGGACAGTACCCTACGACCTTTCTGTTGCTGTGATAAAACACTCTGACCAAAGGCAGTTAAAGGCTTACACTTCCAGGTTTATGACTGAGGGAAGTTGTGGAAGGAACTAAAGGAGGAGTTTTGCTTACCACTCTTGTTTGTGACATGAACCTGAGAGAGCGGGGTCTAAAAATGAGGTGTACTAAAGTCTCACGCAATAGTCAACTGTATTCAGCACATCAGGCAAAACTCTGAGGGTTTAGAAGTGTCACCCAAGTAAAGTGTATAACCACAAGGACAAGCCTCACATGGAAAAAACACATTTTCTTTATAGAGTCATGAATAACAACAGCTGAAGTAAACCCACTTATATCTGCTATACTGGGAGGAACATGAAAACACATTAAAGAACACTTCCTTGTTTTTGAAGACACTGAAGTCACAAGACTCTTGTCTTGTTTTCTTGGAGTTTTCTCACAAGCACTCAGAATTCCACTCATATAACTCCATTCTTGTATTCTGACAGAGCTTGAAGCAGAAACCATTCGAGGAATGCTCTTGTTGGCTCTCTCCCAGACTCATGCTTAGCCAGCTTACTGACACAGCCATGGGTCACCTGCCTAGTGCTGCCCACAGTGGGCTTGGTCCTCCTACATCAGTTAACAATGAAGACAATCCCCTACAGATGTGCCCCCAGGCCACACTGAACCAGGCCTGGGATTCTCTTATCAGGATAACTCTAGACTGTGTCAGGCTGACAGTCAAAACTAATCATGATAGGCATAAAATATGTCCAGTGGCAAGGAAGATATGCCAAGGAGTCAGTTCAGACAAAGTCTGCTAAGAACTTAGTTGGTTACCCTTGTTCTCTGAAGCCTGTTTCCTATGTGCACATGTGGCCAGTGCAAGACCTCTCTCTACATTGGCCTTATGAACCTGCACATAGCATGTTGCATAATCAGACCTCAAGGGACCATAGTGATTGTATAGCTCGTCACATGATGTCACTGAACCGTTTTCTTTTTCCCCTGCAGTTGGGACATTTTTCTGATGATCATAGCAGGCATGAAACTACTGAGAACATCGTTCTGCAACCCAGTTCACCAGTTTGCTAACTTGGGTTTCACGGTCATCTTTTTCCACTTTGACTACAAAGACATTTCTGAGAGCTTCCTCTTGGATTTCTTCATGGTGTCCATTGTATTCACCAAGGCAAGTTCCTTGCTTGTTTTCTTCATTTTTAATGATGCAAAAGCTGTGTCTCATGTTACCCAACTTTTCCTGGGGAGGTCTAGAGAAATGTCTTCTCACCAGGAAGGAAAGAAGGCACAGACAGACCAAAGACAGGATCCCACTGAAGGCCAGCTTGCTGAACCAAAGAGCTTATTGGGGCTACTTACATGAGCATGGGAGACACACAGGCAGTTACACCACTGGAAAACCCCAAATATAGCATGTCTAACTCATGGACAGCTGTAGCCTTGCCGAGTCCACAGCTCCCACTGACACTTCTTCTCCTGTGTGTACCAACACTTGCCAAGTCCACATGCAGCTAGAAACTCAAGGGAGGATCTGCTGACCCTCCTCCTTCCAGGGGGAGGGAGGGTGCCAAGCCTTATCTTCTCTCCACGAATCCTTTACTTCTAGAGTCTCTACTGTAACTGAGGCTGCACTTTCACTAATGGCCTCTCACAGTGCCAAGCCTTAGCTGCTCTCCATGATGCCCTTATGTCTTCAAAACCAATACCAAGTGGGAGATGACTCTGATGTATTGCCAAACTTGGCTTCCAGCTTGAGATTCATCCCTGGCCCTCTCTAGACCTCTGTATGCTGACCCTAAGCAAATAACTTTCCAGATTTTTACCTCAATAATAACTGGTCTCTTATTAACCACAACTGATTCTTCAGAACCAGCTGACCAGCATCAATTGTCCCAATAAAGCAAAGGTTTCAATTCATTGGTTCAGGTCTTTTGTTAACCACAGCTGATTCTTCAGCCACAGATAATCAGAATCCATAGGTTTTTATTGAAAATATCATGTTAATGGTCCTGATAGGGTTGTTGAGTGACTCTCAAATTCTGTCTGACACTTCACAAACCAGGCCTCCATTGACTGCATTACTCTCAGAATTATCTTCTGGACTGGAGAGATGGCTCAGAGGTTAAGAGCACTGGCTGCTCTTCCAGAGGTCCTGAGTTCAGTTCCCAGCACCCACATGGTGGCTCCCAGCCATCCATCAAGATCTGGTGCCCTCTGCTGGCCTGCAGGTATACTTGCAAACAGAACCCTGTGCATAATAAATAAAACTTTTTAAAAAATTGAAAAAAAAAGAATTATCTTCCAAGGTCCCACAACAGGCCATTTGAGTATTCAATGTCTTTCCAGACCAAAGTTCTAAAATCATCCTTCTTTCTCCTACAGAATAGTCTAAGACACAAAAGCCACATGACAAGGTCCATGGAGGCAAAAACCCCACTCCTGATACCAATTTCTAGTCTAATTCCTCTAATTGCTGTTATAAAATACTGACCAAAAATACAACCTAGGGAGAATGAGTTTATTTCATCTCGCCTCTTAAAGTCTATCAGCCAAGGAGCTAAAGGCAGGAACTGAAGCAGAAACCACAGAGGAATGCTGCCCACTGACTTGTTCCAGTCTAGGTCTCCCCTCTGAGGGATGGCACTGCTCACGGTGGACTGGACCATCCTACATCAGTCACTAATTAAGAAAACTCCCTCCAACATGCCCAGAGGCCAATGTGATAAAGACAGTTCCTCAGCTGATACACCCTTTGCTGGGTGTGGGTAGGTTTGTATCAAGCAGGCAAAAACTAACTGGCACAGCCTTGTGCTGATGATCTTCCTGTACCCTCCACTTGCATGCTGGTGTTACAGGTGTGCACCACCACGTTCACTTTGTATAGTGTTGGGGTTGGAACCCAGAGCTTCATGAATGCTACACGACCACTCTACCGTCTGAGCCACCTCCTATGGATCCTTCTGAGCTACTGAATAAAATGCCAGTGATTTCAGACAGAACCAAAGCAGGAACTTTCCTATTTTCCCTAACTGAAGGAGCATTTAAGGACTGTCATTTGAATAATTAGCTTTTAGGTTGGGATAGTGGCCAAGCCTGAAGAGAGGAAAAGAAAGTGCAGAGACGATAGGCAGAGAAGCAGACGTTCTGTAAGGGATGAGAATGAACCCTGGCTCATCTTACTCCTCCCCAAGCTCACCCCTTGTCTGCAGAGAGCAATGCCAGGGAGCTGCTGCAGTGAGGAGCATGACTCTATCCCCAAACATCCTTTAAAGAAACAGGCAGCGTCCCAATAATGTGATCACGTGTTAAAGTCCCCCAGAAAGGTTCTGCCTGCAGGTCTAAGTGGGGGGTTCTCTCATGTTCATCTATCTAATGGCTCTTAAGAAATGAAGAAAGAAACCCCCCTCTTAATGTATGCCCTAGAGGCTTTCAAGAAACTTCCAATGCCGGGTTTGCCAGCAGCACTGCCTTCACAAGTCACTCATTGCATGGTATGAGAGTTTATTGTTCAGTCAGCTCATGACACACCCCTCCATCTGACCACTGAAGGTGTCCCCAAGGTCCTAAATTCTGTCTCCAGTCCCCTAATCTGTTGTCAGCCTGGAAATCCTTCACAGAATGACTGTGAGACAGGTGAAAAGGTACTAGATGGGGTTGCATGTATACATGGGGGCAATTAATTTCCTTTCTCACCCTGTGTCAAAGAGCCTGGTAGAAACAGTCCGAGAAAAGGTTTGTTTGGGTTCAACATTTCAGGGACTTCAGTCCATAGCATGGTAGTACATCGCCTGCTTGTGGCAGCGGAAACCTGAGGCTAGTGCTTCTTTACATGGTGGCAGACAAGAAACAGAGGTAATAAACGGCAAACTGCCCCCCCACACGCCAGCAGCCCCGCCTCTGCCTGCTCAACAATAAGTCCGCAAAGCTCCATAAACTCTGTAACAGTGCCACCATCTAGGGAACCAAACACAGGAGTCTGTAGGAGACATGCCACATTCAAACCATGATGGAGGAGCACATGATTATAAGTGAGTTGGCCCTAACCCTGCAGGTTTTATGGAGATGAAGGAAATAGAGATGTATCTGGAGACATGTTTGAGCTCAGTCAACAGGAGGCCATGGAAAGGAACAGATGGCCATGCAGAGTCTAGGTCCTGTCAGCATGTTATTCTCCTTCTTATATCCCCGTGCTTCTGGAAGATATTTCCCAGTCTCCTCAGTCTGTCAGAACTGGTGAAAATATGAAATAATGGCTTCAAGGCCAGGGCCCTCAGGATGGGGTTGGTTCATCCCCCCACACTAGCTGGGGAGTAGGACAGCCCACAGTGATGGCACCCTGGTCTTCTGAGTGTATGAATTTGGGCACAGTACAATAGAAGTGTTAACAGGGCATTACCTTAGGAAACCAGTCGTGTCTTGCTCGTGGCCTCGCTTCCTCTCTGCCCTTTCAGCTCCCCCTGTTTAATGGGAGTTAGACAGACTTTCATGAACTCATATAAGGCCAGAAAGATGGCTCAGGTGACAAAGTGACTACCACACAAGCACAAGGACATGAGTCTGGATCCCCAGAACCCATATAAATATCTGAATGTGTTGGCATCTGGCGCAGTCCTAGCAATGAGCAATGAAGCTCGTTGGTGGACCGGTGTCGCTGAACTGGTGAGCTCCTGACTTTGTGAGAGAGCCTGCTTCAAAATGTAATGGTGGGGCAATTGAAGAAAGATTCCTAACTTTCACTTCTGGCCTTTGACAACATACATGTATGCTTGCCAACACATGCACGCATGCGCGGGCACACACACCTCATGTGCTACAGGATGGAGACTTTGGGCACACACACACACACCTCATGTGCTACAGGATGGAGGCGTTAGGCACACGCACACACACACGTGCACACACACGCCTCATGTGCTACAGGATGGAGGCGTTAGGCACACGCACACACGTGCACACACACACATACCTCATGTGATACAGGATGGAGGCGTTAGGCACACGCACACACGTGCACACACACACCTCATGTGATACAGGATGGAGACTTTGGGCACACACACACACACACACCTCATGTGATACAGGATGGAGACTTTGGGCACACACACACACACACACCTCATGTGATACAGGATGGAGACTTTAGGCACACGCACACACACGTGCACACACACACCTCATGTGATACAGGATGGAGGCGTTAGGCACACGCACACACACGTGCACACACACACCTCATGTGATACAGGATGGAGGCGTTAGGCACACGCACACACACGTGCACACACACACCTCATGTGATACAGGATGGAGACTTTGGGCACACACACACACACGTGCACACACACACGCCTCATGTGATACAGGATGGAGACTTTGGGCACACACACACACACACACACACACACACACCTCATGTGATACAGGATGGAGACTTTGGGCACACACACACACACCTCATGTGATACAGGATGGAGGCGTTAGGCACACGCACACACACGTGCACACACACACGCCTCATGTGATACAGGATGGAGACTTTAGGCACACGCACACATACGTGCACACACACACCTCATGTGATACAGGATGGAGACTTTAGGCACACGCACACACGTGCACACACACACCTCATGTGATACAGGATGGAGACTTTGGGCACACACACACACACACACACACCTCATGTGATACAGGATGGAGACTTTAGGCACACACACACGTGCACACACACACCTCATGTGATACAGGATGGAGACTTTGGGCACACGCACACACACGTGCACACACACACCTCATGTGATACAGGATGGAGACTTTGGGCACACGCACACACACACACACACACACACACATACCTCATGTGATACAGGATGGAGGCGTTGGGCACACACACACACGTGCACACACACACGCCTCATGTGATACAGGATGGAGACTTTGGGCACGCACACACACGTGCACACACACACACATACCTCATGTGATACAGGATGGAGGCGTTAGGCACACGCACACACACGTGCACACACACACGCCTCATGTGATACAGGATGGAGACTTTGGGCACACACACACACACACACACACACACCTCATGTGATACAGGATGGAGGCGTTAGGCACACGCACACACACGTGCACACACACGCCTCATGTGATACAGGATGG